GGAGCCTGGCTACTTTATTAACTGGGGCAAACCCCACCGTCCCTCCCCTTTAGAGGTGCCTGATCTCACACTCGTGGTTTTGCTTCCCCTTTCATCGGGGGAGAACAGAACCCCTATCACAAGGCAGAAGCTCAGTGTCATCGTGTCTAGGCACTCATGATAGACATTCCCAGGATAAGTTCATAGAATTATAGAATCATAGAATCACTAAGGTTGGAAAAGACCTCTAAGATCATCAAGCCCAGCCGTCAACCCAACACCACCATGCCTGCTAAACCATGTCCTGATGTTCCACCTCTACACGGTTTTTGAACCTCTCCAGGGATGGGGACTTCAGCTGGGCAGCCTGTTCCAGCGCTTCAAAACTCATTCAATAAAGAAATTTTTCCTAATATCCAATCTGAACCTCCTCCGATGCAACTTGAGGCCATTGCCTCTCGTCCTATTGCTGGTTACTTGGGAGAAGAGACCAACACCCGCCTCACTACAACCTCCTGTCAGGTAGTTGTAGAGAGCGAGAAGGTCTCCCCTCAGCCTCCTCTTCTCCAGACTAAACAAACCCAGTTCCCTCAGTTACATACACCTACCTCTGTAAAATACACTCTATGTGCCTGCCAGGCTCGCTGCGGACTAATTAGAGCCCGTCCTGTCAACAGAAGAGGACAATGCCAGCAGCATGGATGCACATGACACCTCCAGGGCACACGGAGTGGACAACAGATGGAGAACGAGCTAATGACCTGGGCACCAAGCTGAGCGACAATGCACTGCTTACTGGGAGACGTCAGATACGTGGCCAAACGGTACTGGTAGAAGAGAGAAACGCCTCGGAGAGTCTGCACGGGGTCTTCCGAATCACAAGGAGCAAGATTTGGAGCTGGTCGTGGCAGAACCTGAAGCTATGACTCTGGAAATCAAAAACCTGCTGCTGACCCCAAACTGAAGTCACAGTCTAAGGCCACGGGACTGAAGAGCTGAGCAAGGAGCAAAAAGGGATCAGCAATACGGTAGCAAATTGAGTTTGGATCTGAAATTAAGGAACTTGCTTATAAAATATATAAAAAACAGTAACAATAAAGGTGATTTTGATTACACTGCTTTGTTAACCTTTCAAAAGCATGAAAAAATTAGCAGAGAGCAAGAGTATGCGTTTGTGTGTGTCTGCCAGAAAGGGTTTCTGTACAATTACAGACCCTCTGGTCAGTATAGCTCTCGGCGCTAGAATATTTGGGGGGAAAAAATCCCATTTAAAATATACTTGGTCTTTCTCAAGCTTTTACAACTCTCTACCTTTGTTTGCCTTGCTTAGCAAAACCAGCTGGTATTAACTGCGCTTCGTACACCGCCACCACGAAGAGCAGCCAGGGAGGCTGTGGAGTCTCCTTCTCTGGAGATATTCCAGCCCCGCCTGGCCGCGGTGCTGTGCAGCCTGCTCTGGGTGACCCTGCTTGGGCAGGGGGCTGGGCTG